CTACTTGTCTCTCAGTGTCTCAGCTGCTGTTGTTTCTCCTTGTACATGTGCAGTTTAGAAGTTATCCAATAGCATGAAGTTAATTTGTATGAAGATTTTGGGGTTCACTTCTCTGTAGTTCCCTCTTTTCTAGGACTTTGCCCCAATTACTTTGGCAGTTTCATACTCTGTCTCCGGAGTTCTTTCTGCTTGAGAAACACCCAACAAAATAGAAAATTCCGGGGCTGGCCCCGTGGCTTAGCAGTTAAGTGTGCGTGCTCTGCTACTGGCGGCCCAGTGTCGGATCCTGGGCACGCACCGACACACCACTTGTCTGGCCATGCTGAGGCCGTGTCCCACATACAGCAACTAGAAGGATGTGCAACTATGACATACAACTGTCTACTGGGGCTTTGGGGAAAAGAAAGGAGGAGGATTGGCAATAGATGTTAGCTCAGAGCCAGTCTTCCTCAGCAAAAAGAGGAGGATTGGCATGGATGTTGGCTCAGGGCTGATCTTCCTCACAAAAAAAAAGAAAGAAAGAAAGAAAGAAAGAAAATTCCCTCAGGGAAAAAGCAGGAGTCAATCTCACATGCTTCCCTATTCTTAAGGACCATAGTCCCTCAAGTCTTGTCTGTATTGTTTATTCTTTAATACTGACCAAGACTCTCTTTGACCAAACTGTAGTCAGGCTCCCCTGAGTCTTCTAGGCCTTCAACTAGGCCTCAGCCTTGGCCCCAGGCCTATCTTTGACCTGCCTCACCCATCTTAGCAAGAATCCTGCTCAGTTAGTTTAGTGAGAATGCCCCCACTGTTTATCTGATTACCCTTGATATCTGATCAAGTTCCTCATACCCCACCCTTGATAGCTGATCACCCTGGCTTGCCTTCAGCAAGAATTTGAAGTCAGTTTAGCAAGAATCCCCCTACCCTTGACATCTCCTCATAGTAATTTTCCATCTACTGACCCCCTCGCTTTGCTTGTTGGCTATAAATCCCCAGCTGTCAGTGCTGTATTTGGAGTTGAGCTTGATTACTCTCACCTGTTGCAATGTCCCCATTCAATAGACTCGAATAAAGTCTTTCTTACTATTTCTTTTGTGTGTGTGTGAGGAAGATCAGCCCTGAGCTAACATTCATGCTAATCCTCCTCTTTTTGCTGAGGAAGACTGGCTCTGAGCTAACACCTATTGCCAATCCTCCTCCTTTGTTTTTTCCCAAAGCCCCAGTAGATAGTTGTATGTCATAGTTGCACATCCTTCTAGTTGCTGTATGTGGGACGTGGCCTCAGCATGGCTGGAGAAGCGGTGCCTCCGTGTGCACCTGGGATCCGAACCTGGGCCGCCAGTAGCGGAGCACACTCAACTGCTAAGCCATGGGGCCAGCCCAAAGTCTTTCTTACTATTTTAACAAGTGTTTAAAATGTTTTTTGTTTAGGGCCGGCCCAGTGGTGTAGCGGTTAAGTTCGCGCATTCCTCTTCAGCAGCATGGGGTTTGCTGGTTCGGATCCTGGGTGTGGACGTACTCACCACTCATCAAGCCATGCTGAGGCAGCGTGCCACATAAAAGAACTAGAAGGACCTATAACTAGGATATACAACTACATACTGGGGCTTTGGAGAGAAAAAAATAAGTTTTTTTTTTGCTTTTCTAGCAATTTGTCCATTTCAGCTGGGTTATCCAATTTTTTGGCATACAGTTGTTCATAGTACTCTCTTATAACCCTTTTTATTTCTGTAGCATAGGTGGTAATGTCCCCACTGTGATTTCTGATTTTAGTAGTTTAAGTCTTCTCTCTTTTTTCCTTAGTCCATTTAGCTAAAGGTTTATCAATTTTGTTGATCTTTTCAAAGACCTAACTTTTGGTTTCATTGATTTTGTTTTGTTTTTCTATTCTCTATTTTGTTTATCACTGCTCTAATCTTTATTATTTCCTTCCTTCTGCTAGCTTTGGGTTTAGTTTGTTCTTTTTCTAGTTCCTTAAGTGGTAAAGTTAGCTTGTTGATTTGAGATCTTGCATGTTTTTTAATGTGAGCCTTTATAGCTATAAATTTCCCCCATAGCACTGCTTTCACTGTGTCCTATAAGTTTTGGTATATTGTGTTTTCATTTATCTCTAAGTATTTTATAATTTTCCTTGTGATTTCTTCTTTGATCCATTGGTTGTTTAAACTTGTGTTGTTTAATTTCCACAATTTTGTGACTTTTCCAGTTTTCCTTTTGTTATTGATTTCTAACTTCATCCTGTTGTGGTCAGAGAAGATACTTAGCATAATATCTGTTTTTTCAAATCTATTGAGACTTAATTTGTGTCCTAATATATGGTCTATCCTGGAAAACGTCCCATGTGCACTTGAGAAGAATGTGTATGCTGCTGTTGTTGGATGGACTGTGCTGTATATGTCTCTTAGATCTAGTTGGTTTATTGTATTGTTTAAGTCCTCTTTTTCCTTACTTATCTTCTGTCTGGTTGTTCTATCCACTATTGTGAGTGGGATACTGAAGTCTCCAACTATTACTGTAGAACTGTCTATTTCTCTCTTCAATTCTATCAGTTTCTGCTTCATAAATTTTCAGCCATTATTTCTTCAAATATTCTCTCTGCCCTCTTCTCTCTCTCTTTTCCTTCTAGGACTCCCACAATGTATATGTTGGTTCATTTTATGGTGTCCTATAGGTCCCTTAGGCTCTGTTTGCTTTTCTTCAATCTTTTTTCTTTCTGTTCTTTGCCTTGATAATTTCTATTGTCTTCAAGTTTTCTGATTCTTTCTTCTGCCTGCTCAAATCTTCCTTTGAATTCCTCTAGTGAATTTTTCATTTCAATTATTGTACTTTTCAGCTCCAGAATTTCTTTTTGGTTTCTTTTTAGGTTTTCTATCTCTTTATTGATATTTCCATTTTGTTCACACATCATTTTCTTGACTTTCTCCACATCTTCCTTAAGTTCTTTGAGCATCTTTAAGACAGTTGTTTTAAAGTCTGTGTGGTATATTTGCCATTAGGTCTTTTTCAGGGACAGTTTCTGTTGATTTTTTTTTCCTTCAAATGGGCCATACTTTCCTATTTCTTTGTACGCCTTATGATTATTTTGTTGAACACTGGACATTCGAATCTAGCAATGTGATCACTCTGGAAATCAGGTTCTCCGTCTTCCCCAAGATCTGCTGTTTTTTTGTTATTGTTTTTATATATTGTTTTGGTTTGTTTATTTTATTTGTCTTTTGTTTTCATTTGTTGTAGGCTGTCTCTGTGGCAAGGATAAGCCTGAAGTGTAAACTTAAGGTCTTCTCAGGTCTTTTTTCAGCCTTTCCCTGGGTGTGGATGGTCACTTTCTAATTTTCCCCATCATATATGAGGTTGTTTTTAATCTACTAGTCTTTAAATGTCTGGTTCCCAAAAGATGAAAAAGTGAAAAATGAAGGAGGGGAAAAAGGGTGCTGGTCCTTTAAATCCCATGGAAGTCACTTCAGCGGGGGGGAGGGAGGCTTGCAACAGCACGAGGAGGTGCAACAACAATGGTTACCCCCTCTTTGTCTACACCTGTGTTCAGAAGCAGACATCAGAGCACAGATCCTTGATATCTAGAGGACAGGTTCCTTTTTGCCCACCCTGGCTCCCATAAGCTATGTGCAAGCTGCGCCAGGAACATGTGTATAGCTGCCTGCCATGGGGCTGGGGGTGAGGGACAGGTAACTGCCACTGTGCAAACTGAAAATCACAGCAATTGACTGTCCAAGTCTTCCTCTGGAAGTCACCAGCCTTCAACATACTCCACAGTTCCAAAATAGAATCAGACAGATTCTGCCAGTGCAATTGTTGTCTAGGTGGGAAGACAGATTCCTGGTGCTTCCTACTCTGCCATCTTCCCAGAATCCTCTATTTCATTTATTTTTATTATTTCCAGTTTACTACAGAAAGTGTTTTTGGCTGTGCTTGAGCTCAGCTTTGACTGCATTCCATAAGTTTTGATATGTGTCCTCCTATTTTTTGCTACTAAATTATGATTTTATTGTTTTGTACCAGATAATGCCACCTGTACCATGTTTGCTTTGGTACATTTGAAGGGTTTTTTTTGAGATTTAAAATATGGTCTGGGCTGCCCAGTGGCATAGCGGTTAAGTGGGCGCACTCCTCTACTGGCAGCCCAGGTTCCCCAGGCCCGCATGGACACACCACTTTCCAGCCATGCTGGGGCTGTGACCCACATACAGCAACTAGAAGGATGTGCAACTTTGACATACAACTATCTACCGGGGCTTTGGGGAAAAAAAAAAGGAGGAGGATTGGCAACAGATGTTAGCTCAGAGCCAGTCTTCCTCAGCAAAAAGAGGAGGATTAGGACGGATGTTAGCTCAGGGCTGATCTTCCTCACACACACAAAAATAAATAAATAAAATATGGTCAATTTTTGGTGACATTAAAAAAAAAAGAATCCATGAGTCCACAATGATACTGGAAAACAGACAGAATAGAGGAAGGGGGAAAGAGAAGGGAGGGCTCTTTTTTTACAGAACATCAGCTGTTAGATGTAGGGGGTTCCAAGCTCAGATCCTGGGATTACACAAGAGCAGCGGCCCTCTGGAGTGGTGACTTGGACATCACTGGGGTTGGGGGGCTGTGAGGAATCATGCCCTCCAGCCCCCTCCACTTCCAGGCGAGAAACTCCTTGAAGGATAGTCTAGGGACCTGTCTTAGGACCCGTGGGCGGCGCTGCAGCTGGCGAGGAGTGCCTGAGGGAACGAAAGGGCAGAAGCTTCAAGGGCCCGCAGGTCTGAGGAGGAGCCTGGGGCTTGGGCCTGGCCGCATCCAGCCCGCAGCAGCTTCACCTCTTGGAGCTCGGGGCTCACACTTGCTCAGCGCGCCCGGCACGCGACTGATGGAGCCCCCCTCCAGCCCCAGCTCGGGGGGCCGCGCGCGCCTCCGCACCCCGGCCCGGCGGGGACGCGCCTGGCGCGGGGACGCGCACCCCGCGACTCGGAGCAGGGCGGGGCGGGCGGCGGCGTGCGGTTCCGGAAGCGCCTTTTCCGGAAGGCAGGGGGGCGGTGCCAGCCTCCGAGGCGGCTTCGGCTATGGCGGCTGGGCCGCGGGAGCTGTCTCCCTAGCCAGGCCCTGCGCCGCCAGAGGATGGCCTCCCTCGGGCCGGCCGCTCCGGGCGAGCAGGGCCCGGGGGCTGAGGCGGAGCCGGGCGCCGCGGGCCCGGCGTCGCCATCGTCTCTGGGGCCCCTGCTCCCCCTGCAGCGCGAGCCGCTCTACAACTGGCAGGCGACCAAGGCGTCGCTGAAGGAGCGCTTCGCCTTCCTCTTCAACTCGGAGCTGCTGAGCGATGTGCGCTTCGTGCTGGGCAAGGGCCGCGGCGCCGCGGCCGCCGGGGGCCCGCAGCGCATCCCCGCCCACCGCTTCGTGCTGGCGGCCGGCAGCGCCGTCTTCGACGCCATGTTCAACGGCGGCATGGCCACCACGTCGACCGAGATCGAGCTGCCCGACGTGGAGCCCGCCGCCTTCCTGGCGCTGCTGAGGTGAGCGGCCCCGGCCGACGGGGCCCGGCCGCCCGGACTCCCCGGTGACCTTGAGCCGGGCTCTCCTGACCCGCCCCGGGCCTCTGTCCTCCCGAGTCGGTGATGCTCCGGAAGGTCGAAATCAGAATCCGTCAGGCGGGCGGCCGCCGCCGGGTGTTAGGGCAAGGTTAAGGTCGGGGTCCCATTAGCGTGCGCTTTGCCGTTGAGAGGCGCCTTCGCGTTCCAACAGCGGATTATCGCCGAGGCTTCAGAGTTAGAGAAGTGGGAAGGATAGAGTGTGGGTCAGGTTGTCCTGATGGCCCGTTTGCCAAATTTTATGTTTTTTGAGGGGAGAGGGGAATAGTTGAAAAGTCTTGTAGGACCGAGGGCCTTTTTTTCTTTTAAACTCTTACTCCTTTTTCATTAGCATAAGTATTGGTTGTCAAGACCCGGGAAAGTGAATACCAAAACAATAAGTGTGGCTTGACCTGCCTTGCGTTTCTGCAGGCAAGGTCACACTAGCCTAAAAACGAATCCCTCCATCGGTGTTCGAGTTTGCTTTTTGATTATTTGAGGATAGTAGATTGACTTCTGATTAATTTTATTTAATGGAAGGGAGCTAATAGTTTGCCATTATTAGCTTTTAGTCACAAAAGTCCAGTTAGGGAGGTATAGGTCTTGTTTCCCACAATTTTACAAATGGGACTGAGGCCCAGAAGAGTCAGATAACTTGCCCAAGTAACAGAGCCAACTCACACGGAAGACCGTTTGTGTTTCATTATACCAAAATGGTTTTAGCTGCCTGAGTAGAATGTGTTGTTATTAGTAGCAGAGTCTTGGGTGGTACTGAGGCAAAAACAGGTAGGTCAGGGAACAGATGACAGCCTGCAAAGGCTCACAGCTCAATCAGGAAGATAAATAGGAAATTGAATACAGAGTTAACCCAAGGAGGAAAGAAATGCTAAGATCCTGTTAATAAATGGATAAAGGACAAGCTTAGGGAAAGAAGAAAATACAACTAATTGACAAAGAATGTTTAACCTCGTTAGTAATTAGAGAAGTGCAAATTAAAAGTGAAGTACTTTGCGTCTTCTGTTAAACCATCAGAGGAGCCCTCTCTTGCAAAGGTGGTGGTAAAACACTTTGGCACCAAAGATTTTTTTTTACCACAGATAAGAAGTATTCAAGTACTGAAAAAAGAGTCTACAAAAATTTTGCAGCAGGATTGTTTATAGTAGTGATGAAGTAGTCAACTGGAGGGAATGGTTAGATATACAGTGATAGGTCAATTTGATGGAGTGTCATGCGGCTACTAAGTATGATGCTTATTAAGACAAGGTAGTAACATTAACATGGAAAATGTGTATAATAAATAGTATTTGAAACTGTGCACACTATGGTTAAAGAAACAGAACAAACATGTACCTAGAGATAAGGATAGAAGGAAACAGCAAAATGTGAACCGAAGTTGTGTTGGAGTGGTAAGATGATATTGCCTTTTTTTTTTTCTTTTCTCTTTGATGCCCATATTTTGTGTAATTTAGTTCAATTACATTTATAAAAGGAGAAGAAAACAATTCAAAAGCTAGGATCTAGGTCATTTTGGTTTTTGGTTTGAAGTTGACCAGGAGGATTGGTTATAGCTTGTTTAGATTCTCTAGACTGGAAGTGTTTTAAAATGATCTGTTGGTCCATCTGCATTGTAATCTCCCAGAGTACTTCTTGAATTTGTAGATCCCTACTTCCCTCCTTACAATATTGCAGTGTTTTGAGGTAGAACCTCAAGAGCATTTTTAATATTCTCCCAAAATACTAACTGGCTAAATTTGAGAGCCAGTGATCAAAAAATATTGTTGGGTACCTTTTCCCTTTAAAAAATATTGAGATTGCTAGGATAAGAATGTAGAGGGAAAAATGCTTATTTCATATTTTCACTGAAGCTATTAATCAGTCTTTTCCCATCAATAGAAAATAAGTGAATTAATTCAGAGTCCCTGAAATTTTCCTATTTTCAGTGTAGTCATGGCATTTGTCCTTCTTCAGGTAGGTTCCAGTCGTTATTCTATTCTGAAAGTGATATCTGGACTGAGTTTAACCTAGATATCGGCTGGCTGTGAAACGTAGATGCTGAACCTACTATTGTGTGACAAAAAGATGTTAGCACTTGCTGAGTTGGAAAAGCAGATTAGCTTGGGCATACTTTTATTATGTGTACAACTTGAATTAGTTAACATTAGTTACAGGCTTTTGAACGTGAGTTTGAAGCACTTTAAGAAACTGCTCAGGGCAGGCCCCGTGGCTTAGCGGTTAAGTGCCTGCGCTCGGATCCCGGGCGCACACCGACGCACCGCTTCTCCTGCCATGCTGAGGCCGCGTCCCACATACAGCAGCTAGAAGGATGTGCAGCTATGACATACAACTATCTACTGGGGCTCTGGGGGGAAAATAAATAAAATAAAATTATTAAAAAAAAAAAAAAGAAACTGCTCATTTTTATCTGCCTGACCTTTAAGTGATGTTCATCAGCTGTTCATTTGAGAAATACTGTGTTCCTCCCTTGTGCCAGTCGCTGTTTTAGATGTTGGATATAGCAGTGAACAAGAAAAAGTCCCTGCCTTCATGGAGCTATAATCGAGTAAGGAGAAACCAAGATAGAATATAATGTCAGTATAATATACTGTCGAGTTCTGATAAGTGTTTTGAAGAAAAATGATCAAGTCATGAGGGAAGGAGCATTCTAAGCAAGGAAAAGCATGCTTAAGGCCCTAAATTTCTCCTGTTGGAGGAGCTGCAGGAGTAAATCAGTGTGATTTGAGCAGAGTGAATAAGGGGGAAAGAAGGAGAAGATGAGGTCAGAAAGATAGGCTGATCAGGATCCTGCATGGCCGTTGTGCCTGGGATGGCCTGTGTGTTTCTTGTGGTGTGTGGTGGGAAGCCTTTGGAGGGTTTTGAACAGGGGAGTGACGTGATCTGATTTACATTTTAAAAACTCATTGTGGCAGTTGTTTGGAGATTAGACTGAAGAGGGAGTGAAATGGGCAGCAGGGAGTTGAAGTAAGAGGCTTTTGCAGTAGTCGAGGCAAGAGATGATGGTGGGTTATACCAGGGTGGTAGTGATGGCCTTGATGAGAATTGGTCCAATTCTGGATATGTTTTGAAGGTAGAGCCAAGATTTCCAAGATACCCAAGGAGGGATATTAGAGTAGACAGTTAGAAATATGAACCTGGAGCTTAGGGAAGAGTTTCTTGCTGAATGTAAATTTGAAAGTTAAGGGTGAGTGGTATTTAAACCATGAGACCAAATGAGATTACCTAGGGAGGGAATGTAGATTGTGGAGAGAAGAGAGGTACAAGGATGTGCCCTGGGATCCTCCAACATGTAGAGATGTTGCAGAGGAGAAGGAGCATAAAATGAGACTGAGCTGTCAGTGGAATTAGAAGAGAAAGCAAGGAGTATGGTATCCTGAAAGTCAAGTTGAAGAAAGCATTCCAGTAAAGAGGGAGTTGTCAACTATGTTAAATGCTGCTGAGAGTTGGGTAAAATGAGGACCGTGACAAAATGGAGGCTATTGAAAACTCTGGCAACAGTGATTTCAGGAGCTGGATTAGAGTAGATTATGGAGAAAATAGGAGGTGAAGAACTGGAGACAGCCAGTATAAATAATCCCCTCAAGGAGTTTTCTTGCAAAGAGGAGCAGAGAAATGGAGTGGTGACTGGAAGGAAACATGGGGTAACTGTTCTTCAGGGTTCTGTCTTGAGCTGTCTCCTTTTCTTCCATTAACCCATGCCATTGTGTACTCCGCCAGCTATATTGCCAGTCTTCTACTCCGCTCCAGAACCCAATTTGCAACTGGACATTCACAAGTGAATGTCTAGTACCCGTGCAGATGGACATGTCAGTAATAAAAATATCTTACATGTAGGGAGGACTTACTGTGTGCCACTTATTGTTCCTAACCACCTTGTGTGAACTCACTTAAATTTCAGAACAGTCTTTGAGTCAGGCACACTCATTATTATGCCCTGTGTTAGTCAGCTTTTGCCACAATAATGCTGTAAAATACTCAAAACTCAGAGGCTTAAAAAAAACAGTCATTTATTCTTGCTCATGAATATTCTTGCTCTGTGGGTCATTTGGGGATTGACTCAGATGGCCTTGATTCCAAGGCCATCTGTAGTTTGGTTCCACTGTGTTCCACCTGTTTCTCATCCTTTTTGGACCAGTCATGAAGGTTCTACCCCCTTCTCTTAATTTTTTTTTGGCATTTCTTCAACCAGACCACTGCCTTTAGACTTAGCTGTGTCCATTCTTCACACTGTTAACAACGCTGTCTCTCTAATATCCATATATTCTCATATGGTTCCCCTGAATCTTGTAATGACTTCTTTTTGCATATAGGGTGCGGCTTAAACACTTTAGCAGGTACACAAGACCTTTATGATTTGATCTCCATTTCCTCTTCCTCTGCATCTACTCAGTGCCCTAACCCTCACTGCTGATGGCCGCCTTCTTATTTTAACACCTGCGTTTGTACTTCTCAGTCTTTCTGCCTTGAAGATCTCCACACTTAATTACTACGCTCCAGATAGACTTCAGGCTTTACCTCTTCTGTAAAACATCACTGAATATTACCTGCAGGCAGAATTGTGCACTGCCTCATCTCATCTCTCATAGCAAGTTTTGTATCTATTGCTCTAGAACAAACTGCTCCAACACTTAGCGGCTTAACCACGGTTTTATTATCTTCCCCGTTGACTGAGGTCAGCTTGGTGGTTCTTTTTTTTTTGTGAGGAATATCAGCCCTGAGCTAACATCCATACCAATACACCTCGTTTGGCTGAGGAAGACTGGCCCTGAGCTAACATCCGTGCCCATCTTCCTCCACTTTATATGGGATGCTGCCATAGCATGGCCTGACAAGTGGTGCATCAGTGCGCGCCGGGGATCCGGACCCGGGCGGCCAGCAGGGGAGCGCACGCACTTAACCACTACGCCATGGGGCCGGCCCCAGCTGGGTGATTCTTATGGCCTCTCCTTCGGGTCTCCCGTGCAGTCGTAGTCTGAGAGCACTTGGCGCCAGAGTCATCTGGAGGTTTGACGCAGATTCTGGGATGGCTGAGCCTTTTCCCCTCTCTCCGTAGCTTCTCCAGCTGATCTTTCCAGCAGGGTAGCTGGACTTCTTGGATAGCTCATGGCTCCTGAGAGCACAAAAGCAGGCGCTGCCAGGCATCCTCAAAGTTTAGGCCCTAGACTGGTATAGTATCACTTCTCCCATGTTCTCTTGGTTAAAGAGAGTCACACAGGACCAGCCCGGATTCATTATGGGACAAATCTACATAAGGGCATGGATAATAGAAGGCATGATTTATTGGGGCCATTTTTAGAGATTAGTTATCACCCCATGCCTAATGTATAATTCTGTTATAATTATGACATTACTTTTGAATCATTTCATTGCCAAACCGTAAGCTTTTTATGGGCAGAATATGTTACCCATATTAGTATTTCTAGGACCTATCACAGTGCCCAGTATTATATAGTCCCTTTAAATTTTTTTATTTATTTATTTTTTTCCCCCAAAGCCCCAGTAGATAGTTGTATGTCATAGGTGCACAGCCTTCTAGTTGCTGTATGTGGGACGCGGCCTCAGCATGGCCGGAGAAGCGGTGCGTTGGTGCGCGCCCGGGATCTGAACCCGGGCCGCCAGTAGCGGAGCGCGCGTACTGAACCGCTAAGCCACGGGGCCGGCCCCAAATTCTTGGATTTTTAAGTAGCCTTGTTTCTTATTAGAAATGAAAATGATTTCTCTGTCAGTGTTACACAGAAGCCTGTACTAAATCGTCTAGTCAGTTAACATGTATTTATTAAGTTTTAGCCATGTGCCCACACTGTGCCTGGTGCTGTAGGAAAGATGTAGGAAAAAAAAAATATAAGAAACACAGAGTTCCTTTTCTTATTGTTTATAGTGCAGTATTTATTTATAACTTGCGTTGCTCCAAAAAGAAATTTAAAATGTCTTACAAGAAGCACAAGGGTAAGAAATAAAACAGAGCCAAGGTGAAGCTAATACAAAAATGCATGCTATAGGTAAGCTACAAGCTTAATTTTAATCTTTTCAGCAGCTAATGCAAAAAGAGAAACCTGGCTAGTCAGTTGTAATTCATAGTGTTCATCAGATTAAAAACAAACCAACTGCATAGGAGATGTACAACTCTATCTGATAATAAGACGAGTAAAAAACATTCCTGATGAGGTCCCCTCATAAAGAAGGCATTACTGAAATGAACAGTGTCCTCAGTCTATGTCTTTAGATATAGATATAGATGTTTCTTTAAAATAGTCCTTGATATAAGCCAAAGATATATTACCAAAGTATAATTTAATAAGAGCAATTTCAGTGGGGCTAGGTGTCTCATATAGAATAGTCTAAAAACACAGTTCTCTCTATTCCTGGAATGTTCTTCTGAACCTCTTTTCATCTTTTAGATCTCAAGTGGAAATTCGTCTAGGAAGCTTTTCCAGATCTCCCTGTCAGAGCCCCCACTTATAAATTTTATGGAACCATGTACTTCAACTTTATGGAACTTGTTTCCTTAAGATTTGAATCTACTCAAATACAAAGGCAAATGGTAATAAAGGCCCCACATTTCTGCTCTATATTTTATAACTCTAGTAATTTTTGCCTGAAAAAAAATTAAGCAGATGTAAAGACTTCTTCCTACCTTGCCCTTAAAACAAAAACTTCATAGGTTTCTAGTTCAGGAAGGGAACTGAGCATGATGTTAGCCTTCTCTCTCTCCCACTTAAAATGACTATAAGAAATACAAAAGAGAAGAAATGCATTACGGTGAAGAGAAAAAAGGGACAGGAGTTGGAAACCAACAATGTAGAAAAGAGACAAAGCAGTCAGAAGCGTGTTGATGATGAAATGGAGTGGATGAATCTGGAGCCCAGAATCCAGAGCATGAGGAACCACAGTGGAGGTGGGAGCCCACCTTTCCTGGCAGAATCCCAGCAAGGCTCTAGGCTGGGAGTTGGGAGTGAGGAGGGTGAAAATGAGAAGGTAGGGCTAAAACCATGGGAATTAATTTAACACCTGCTAATGGACCATCCCTCACCCAGCTCTTGCAGACTAACTCCTGGTGATAACTGACAGGCTCCTCTTTAAAGAAACTGAGCAAACTGCCTGGGGAGAACAAGGATGCTTATATGGCCTAGGGACTCCAAGGTAAAGGCATTGAGGGGGGTCCTTGACCCAAAGACTAATTTTCCACTCTAATGCAAAGTGCCAGGCAACAAGCCTCCCACATAAACAGAGCTCCCAGCCAACCTGTCCATTTTGGAAATGGTTTTAGCTGGAAAACAGACCTACCTACACAACAGCAAAGAAAACATACCAGCTACCAGAATACTGAACTGGAGACAATCATTAATCATTTGACATATAAGGAAAATTAGAACATGAATGACAAAGACCCAGAACAGCTGATTTTCAAGGAAATAGGTAATTCAGGGAACAGAAGGAACTTTTAAAACTTTGATTAATATCATCTTGGAGACTTGAGAACATTTTTGCATCCATAAAACTGGGACATGATGCTGTGGAGAAAAAAAAGGAACAACTAAGAAAGAAGCAAGAATTCTTAGAAATTTAAACATTTGATTCCTGGGGAGAAAAAGGGAACAGCTAGAAGATAATGGCAAGGAAATCTAAAACGCGGAGGAAAAGAGAAATAAAAAACGAGCAATATAAAAATAAATAGCAACATTTACTGAGGCTAAGTATTTGTCAGGCACTTTTCAAAACACTTTATGTATTTTAATTTATATTAATCCTCACCAGAGCATTATGAAGTAGATATTCTTATCTCTTTTCAGAGAGGAACACAATGATAATAATTTGTTTAAAGTCACATAGCTGGCAAGTGGTGGAACAGGCTCAAACCCAAGCCATCTCTTCCTGCGTCTGCAAAAATTAGAATGGCCCTCACCTGCTTGGCCTGGTAGTACTGTAGCACTGGACGCAGTTGGAAGTCCAGAAATGATGTACTGTGGTAAACAGCTCCTGGGTTTCCTCAGCCTCTGTCTCCACATCTGTAAATGCAGGGAACAGCACCTGCCTTCCTTGTGGGAGGATTAAATGAATTGGCATCAGTCACGTGGTAGACACTCAACAAGTGTTAATTTTCTCTTTATTCTTTTTATTCATCCCCCTGCCCCTGACTAAAAGGGACTGTGCGTTACTTGGTTTTTAATTCCCTGTACTCATCACAAAGTGTGGCACATAACATTAAGTGAGTTTTTTGAGGGTGATACAGATGGCTGGCTTGAGTCTCTAAAAGGAGGTTTTGGAAAAAATATTTTGAAACAGTGTAATCCTGGAAAACAGCAACCTTCATTTTGAACCTGAGATATAGAGGAGGATGAGAATGAACAGCCTCCACTTGAGGTTATGGTAAGGACAGTGGTCATTATTAGAGGAATGCTAGCCTTTGGTTAGGTTGGGAAGTTAGGTGGGTGAACAGGCTCGGGTTTCATCTTGGGTGGTGATTATGGCCACAAGTATAAAAGAAGAGGAAGTTGAAAGGTAGAGGGTAGGAACATGAAATAGAACTTACTTTCCTCATGCACTTCACTGTAATACTGTGTTCTGAAAGAAGTTAATGAGTTTTCTTAAACACTTATTTTACCACTTGGGCCCTGGGAATATAAGTGTAACAAGTGTTCTAATGTCTTTAGTATCGCTAAAATGAAATACTTGTTCTTAATGCCATACCTCTCCAGCACCCTTGGCTATCCTGAGTATAGTTGAGAACTGGGCTACTGAGGAGTGGGCCACTGGGCCACCTAGGGGTCTCTGAGGAGCCACAGAGGGGGCCTAAGGTTGATATGTAAAAGCCCCGGGATAGTTTAACAAGAACTGCCCAGGCCTTTGTTGAGAATCTTACGCTTTATCTGCAGTTCTATGAAGCTGAATTATCTAGTGACATAGCAGTTAGAAACAGCGAACTGGGAGGAAGGCAATATTGGGCTGATGGTATTTTGAGAGAAAATTGGACTTAAATACCCAAAAGCACATAGCAGCGTGTGGTTATTCAAGATATTATTAAATCGGGGCCGGCCCGGTGGCATAGTGGTTATGTTCACAAGCTCCGCTTCGGCGGCCCAGGGTTTGCAGGTTCAGATCCCCGGCACAGACTGATGTACTACTTGTCAAGCCATGCTATGGCGGCGTCCCATATAAAGTAGACGAAGATGGGCATGGATGTTAGCCCAGGGCCAGTCTTCCTGAGCAAAAAGAGGAGGATTGGCAACGGATGTTAGCTCAGGGCTAGTCTTCCTCACACACAAACAGATATTATTAAATTGTTTTATTCTCCAAAGCCCCAGTACTCTAGTTTTTGGTCATAATGCTAATTCTGGGATAACAATGAAAGGTTAAAAGATTCTCAGAATAAGAAGACACCATTATCGGGAAATAAATGAATGTTTTGTCATTTAAAGATGTGAACTTCAGCCATCTGTAGATTTGCTTAAGTGAACATCCTTTGATGAAGGAGAGATAAGTGAACCATGTTGTCCTAAGTTGCCATAGGGTACTAAAAGACCCCTGCACACTTGGTCCAGAGACGTGGGTCTGTCTCATGATCTTCCCTTAACTTCAATTTCCTCTGTAAAATGGAGACCAACTACCTCTCAGGATTGAGTAAAGATGAGATGTTGTATGTGCAAGTGCCCTGGAAAGTCTGATGTGCATTTCAGGTTATTTTTCAATTTTCTCGTTAGCTTTAAAATATTCCTTAGAAGTTTAACTCCGATGAATTGCTTATCAAAAACATTACTGACCATCTCTGCAATTTCTAATTGCTTTACAGATTTCTGTATTCAGATGAAGTCCAGATCGGCCCCGAAACAGTTATGACCACTCTTTATACTGCTAAGAAATATGCAGTCCCAGCCTTGGAAGCACATTGTGTGGAATTTCTCACCAAACATCTTAGGGCAGATAATGCCTTTATGTTACTTACTCAGGTAAGTAAATGTAGCGAAGATATATATCATTGTAGTTTTAAAAATTGAGTGTAACTATATATGAATATTTAGTATTTCCTGGAGAATTAGTTGTAGATCATTATTTTAAAATATATGTAGAAATAAAAGGGATCCAAATTGGAAAGGAAGAAGTGAAACTCGCACTATTTGTAGATGACATGATTTTATATATAGAAAACCCTGGGGCCGGCCCCGTGGCTTAGCGGTTAAGTGCACGCGCTCCGCTACTGGCGGCCCGGGTTCGGATCCCGGGCGCACACTGACGCACCGCTTCTCCGGCCATGCTGAGGCCGCATCCCACATACAGCAACTAGAAGGCTGTGCACCTATGACATACAACTACCTACTGGGGCTTTGGGGGAAAAAAAAAAAAAGGAAGAGGATTGGCAATAGATGTTAGCTCAGAGCCAGTCTTCCTCAGCAAAAAG